CTGGCATAGTGTACAGAAACATCTGTGCCGAGTACAGGCTGGAAGTCCCAAAGTCAAAATGGGATACACCTCCAAAGGTGGTTGAGAATGACCAAGCTAAGATCCTGTGGGACTTCCAGATACAAACTGACAAACTGGTAATGGCCAACCAACCAGACGTAGTAGTGGTAGACACAAGTGGTCCCCGTGGTAATACGAACATTGGGGGCTGTGACCCCCAAACTGGGAGAGTGGCTCCAACAGATTCCAAGAACATCTGAGATCTCTGTCCAGAAGAGTGCAATCCTAGGAACAGCTATGATACTGCGCAGGACCCTCAAGCTCCCATGCCTACAGTAGAGGACCCAAGCTTGAAGGAAGAAAAAAAGACTGCCCCCGAAGTGGGGCGAGTGGGGAAGTTTTTGTTTGTATAAATTCCCCACTCGCTCCACTTCAGTGTGTGCGCGTGTGCACTGGTTTATGTTGAAGTGTGTGGGATCAGACCTGTAGCAGAGACCCATGGATGTGGTTGTGTTGGATTTTGGGTCCTGGCTTTGGAGGAAGCTCTTGTAGTAAAGAATGGACTGTAGACGGGACCTGGGTGACCAGCACAAAGGGGACGAGGGCCCGAGCCGCCATTTCTCTGGTCCGATACACTGCTGAACGCCCACATCTACAGACAGACAGTAGCAACATTGTGGAAAGTTACTGACATCATAAACTGTTACCTTTTATTCTTGCATTATGTAACATGAACGTCTGTCCATTACCTCCCCCCCCTGCCCTGGGCCGTAACCCACTACAGAACATAAAAACACTACCTCTGCTGTTTGCACAAACTCAATACATTCCCCCTTTTTTGTCATATTATATATGAACCTGCTGCTTTTTTTTTTTTTTTTATCACATAACCACATCTACAGACAGACAGTAGCAACATTGTGGAAAGTTACTGACATCATAAACTGTTACCTTTTATTCTTGCATTATGTAACATGAACGTCTGTCCATTACCTCCCCCCCCTGCCCTGGGCCGTAACCCACTACAGAACATAAAAACACTACCTCTGCTGTTTGCACAAACTCAATACATTCCCCCTTTTTTGTCATATTATATATGAACCTGCTGCTTTTTTTTTTTTTTACATCATAATTGCTGCTGTCCATGTACATTTCATAAGTTATTATGCATTTCATCACCAATGCCCCTGGTGATGCTAACCACCTGACAATCTTCTTATTATTTGCACTACTGTCACTGTTTGCACATGGCATTGAGTTTCATCACAGCCTATTAGGTTGTACCATTTAGTTTATCCTTATTACTTGAATTCAGTTTTCATATTCTATTTATTCTGTGTTTATTCAAATTTTATTCTATTTTAGTTTCTTAAATGGTATGGGCATTCAACATTAGGTGAGAGAGAAACAGTATTTCAATTTTTCTGTATGTCCTGCACATATAGTGAATTGACAATAAAAATCTTTGATCTTTGATTTGAGCCTGTTTAAATTAATAGAGGAAGTTATATCTCATCATCACAGATCATGTATTGTTATTATAAATGAGGCACTGTTGTAATTCTGTTGTAAATAAAATTCAATTTATTTTAAAGCTGTAACTGAGAAAAATGATGTAATTATGGTGCAGATGATGATTATTAATCATTATTTTGGTATGCAGCCACATTATGTCATGGACAAATTCTCCAGTTAGGAATGATGCCTCATAACTTATTTGCTTTCTGACAATTAGTGACTACTTTTCTGAATACATTAAGCAACATCCATCTTTCTCCCTTAGTGTTTCTCTCTGTCTCTCTCTTCTGGTGAAAAAGCATTCACTGAATCTGAGCAGCTCCCAGGCCAGTATATGTCCAATAATCCCCAAATCAAATATTTTAAATCATTATCCAACTAAACAAATTGTTTCTTTCTGAATCTGAACTAACCTGCTACATCACGTGTGAAATGTTATCTTGATGGGCCACCTGTGTTACCTTTGAAATATTTAGCTTTATTTTGAAAGTTTTGCCCCATTCAAATGAATGGGGGAAATTGTACTTCAGCATAATTTCAGGTATCAAAATGTTCAGCTCCTCAAAGACATTCATGGCTCTCTTCAGGAGTTTTCCAAACCTTATATCTTTGAAATATTTAGCTTTATTTTGAAAGTTTTGCCCCATTCAAATGAAGGGGAAAATTCAACTTCAACATACTTTTAGCCATTTCAGGTATCAAAATGTTCAGCTCTTCAAGGACATTCATGTTTCTATTCACAATTTTTCTAAATTTCATACTTCTGAAATATTTAGCTTTATTTTAAAAA